AGCACAGCTCACCCGAAAAACAACAGCTAAAGCTGCTGTATTGCTCATCTCCGCGTCATTTCTGCACCCGGCAAAGGCCGTGTTTTCATCCAGCCCTGCAAGAAACCGAGATTAACCTTTCTTCCCACTAAGTGTTGGAGGGTGTGAAAGCCTGTGAACCGCTGGTTAGTCAGAGCAACTCTGCCACCTTCCTGTCGTGCTTTGTTTCCTTTGCTGCACGCCATCTGGCCAGATCCTGAGCACTGCCTTCTTCAGGATCCTCAGTCCAGCTTCGCTCCTTGGGCTCAGAGAAACGAGCCTGGAAATTTCCACTACAGCTACAGGGGTAAACGGCCTTTTTTATGGCGGGGCCAACAGGCAGACTGATGGAGGCCGTGAGGTTGGACTCTTCTCCCTATGACAAGTGACAGAACAAGAGGAAATGGCCTCAAGTTGTGCCAGGGAAGGTTTCACTGAAAAGGTTATCAAGCAGTGGAACAGGCTACTCAGGGAAGTGATTGAGTCACCATCCCTGTACGTATTTAAAAGACTGTAGATACGGTTTTCAGGGACATGGTTCAGTGGTGGACTTGGCAGTGTGCTAGGTTAATGGTGGGACTTGATCTTAAAGGTCTTTTCCAACCAAAACAATTTTGTGATTATATGACATTCAGATCTCCCAAGTTGTGTGACCTTACCCATACAGATGCCAGCAATGCACTGTAGCCAAAGGTTCAGAGGTTTTGCAATGTCACTGTCTTCCTACAGCACTGAATACTGCAGCATGCTTTGGGGGCTAGAGAACATTTGCTTCCTCTCACCTTGTCATGTTCTAACAGCTACCACTAAAGCATCCTGTAAGCTGATAGAGTCTTGAAGAGAAAGCAAGAACACACCACCTTGTCTTTTGGATGGCCCTGTGCATTTAATCCTACTTGGAGAGAAGAGTTTAACTGACTCCTTAGTCACAGTGCTAAATTACTAAATGTACTAATTACTAAAACTACGGATTGCAAAGGCTCAGGTTCAGTTGTGATCTTTCCCATCAGCAACAGATAAGCAGAGGCAAAATAATCTTTTCAGGCCCTATGAGTCCCAACAAACCTTCACCAGGTTTCTGCTAAATGCCTGTCTAATGAAGTCACCCTGGGTAGGGCAAAAAATGCAGCGTTGGCTGGTAGGTAAAGCCAAGCAAAGGATGCAAAGGACAAAGAGGAAAGCCCATGGGCCTGGGAGAAATCATGGCTCTGTGAAGGTAATACCCAGCTCCAAGCAAGGCTCAGGAGCTGAACAAAACCAGCAGAGGCAGGGATACTCATGATGCAGGAAGCTCTGCTGAGAGGGACTAAACCTGGGATCAAACTCTTTCCATCCTTCCTGCATGGGCGGTGTGAGATCCTGACCCCGGGAAACAGAGATACTTCATGGCATCTTGATAACTTGTGCATACCTAGAGCTAGTTTTCAGGTTTGCGCTCATTTATTTTTAGAGCATCCCTGCATTCGGTCAGTACATCTTTTATTTGGGCTAACCCAGTTTTTGTGTCTGCTTTTCCTGGAGATCACTTGGGAAGTATCCCTTCTATATGTGCTGAAAGGAGCACTCTCCTTCCCCACTTCAAAAGTAGCACATTCAATTACTCCTGGGGGAAGAATATTTCTGTTCTCCCACCCTGTTGCCCAATTGCTCTTGCAATACCAGGTCGATGACTTCATTTCCAGCTCTCTACACACAAAGCCTGTCTCTACACACTCAGCCTGTCACTATCAAAATTGTTTTTAAATCAAGATGATGCTTCTAGAAAGAAACGATCTCCGCAGGAAAAGCATCTGGCATCAAATTTCTAGCTAATTTTCTTCCTTCCTGTGCCTTGTGCAGGTACAGACAAAGAAAGCAGCATTGCTGTTGGGAGCCACCCACTCCATGATGCCTGTGGGCACTGCAGATCGTCTCTGAACGGGGAGCACAGCTCACCCGTAAAACAACAGCTAAAGCTGCTGTATTGCTCATCTCCGCGTCATTTCTGCACCCGGCAAAGGCCGTGTTTTCATCCAGCCCTGCAAGAAACCGAGATTAACCTTTCTTCCCACTAAGTGTTGGAGGGTGTGAAAGTCTGTGAACCGCTGGTTAGTCAGAGCAACTCTGCCACCTTCCTGTCGTGCTTTGTTTCCTTTGCTGCACGCCATCTGGCCAGATCCTGAGCACTGCCTTCTTCAGGATCCTCAGTCCAGCTTCGCTCCTTGGGCTCAGAGAAACGAGCCTGGAAATTTCCACTACAGCTACAGGGGTAAACGGCCTTTTTTATGGCGGGGCCAACAGGCAGACTGATGGAGGCCGTGAGGTTGGACTCTTCTCCCTATGACAAGTGACAGAACAAGAGGAAATGGCCTCAAGTTGTGCCAGGGAAGGTTTCACTGAAAAGGTTATCAAGCAGTGGAACAGGCTACTCAGGGAAGTGATTGAGTCACCATCCCTGTACGTATTTAAAAGACTGTAGATACGGTTTTCAGGGACATGGTTCAGTGGTGGACTTGGCAGTGTGCTAGGTTAATGGTGGGACTTGATCTTAAAGGTCTTTTCCAACCAAAACAATTTTGTGATTATATGACATTCAGATCTCCCAAGTTGTGTGACCTTACCCATACAGATGCCAGCAATGCACTGTAGCCAAAGGTTCAGAGGTTTTGCAATGTCACTGTCTTCCTACAGCACTGAATACTGCAGCATGCTTTGGGGGCTAGAGAACATTTGCTTCCTCTCACCTTGTCATGTTCTAACAGCTACCACTAAAGCATCCTGTAAGCTGATAGAGTCTTGAAGAGAAAGCAAGAACACACCACCTTGTCTTTTGGATGGCCCTGTGCATTTAATCCTACTTGGAGAGAAGAGTTTAACTGACTCCTTAGTCACAGTGCTAAATTACTAAATGTACTAATTACTAAAACTACGGATTGCAAAGGCTCAGGTTCAGTTGTGATCTTTCCCATCAGCAACAGATAAGCAGAGGCAAAATAATCTTTTCAGGCCCTATGAGTCCCAACAAACCTTCACCAGGTTTCTGCTAAATGCCTGTCTAATGAAGTCACCCTGGGTAGGGCAAAAAATGCAGCGTTGGCTGGTAGGTAAAGCCAAGCAAAGGATGCAAAGGACAAAGAGGAAAGCCCATGGGCCTGGGAGAAATCATGGCTCTGTGAAGGTAATACCCAGCTCCAAGCAAGGCTCAGGAGCTGAACAAAACCAGCAGAGGCAGGGATACTCATGATGCAGGAAGCTCTGCTGAGAGGGACTAAACCTGGGATCAAACTCTTTCCATCCTTCCTGCATGGGCGGTGTGAGATCCTGACCCCGGGAAACAGAGATACTTCATGGCATCTTGATAACTTGTGCATACCTAGAGCTAGTTTTCAGGTTTGCGCTCATTTATTTTTAGAGCATCCCTGCATTCGGTCAGTACATCTTTTATTTGGGCTAACCCAGTTTTTGTGTCTGCTTTTCCTGGAGATCACTTGGGAAGTATCCCTTCTATATGTGCTGAAAGGAGCACTCTCCTTCCCCACTTCAAAAGTAGCACATTCAATTACTCCTGGGGGAAGAATATTTCTGTTCTCCCACCCTGTTGCCCAATTGCTCTTGCAATACCAGGTCGATGACTTCATTTCCAGCTCTCTACACACAAAGCCTGTCTCTACACACTCAGCCTGTCACTATCAAAATTGTTTTTAAATCAAGATGATGCTTCTAGAAAGAAACGATCTCCGCAGGAAAAGCATCTGGCATCAAATTTCTAGCTAATTTTCTTCCTTCCTGTGCCTTGTGCAGGTACAGACAAAGAAAGCAGCATTGCTGTTGGGAGCCACCCACTCCATGATGCCTGTGGGCACTGCAGATCGTCTCTGAAGCCAAGGGATGCTCCCAGTTGCTCTGTGATCTGCAGCAAGTTTAACCCAAAAGACTGCCACTGCACTATCCTCTTGCTTCTCAGAGGAAAACTGGACAACCTCTGTACAAGGGACACTTTGAGCAGCTGCTTGACTCAGCCAGCTGAAAAATACCAGGGAGAGAAGCACTTATCTCCATTTTCTTGCTATTTGAGGTCATTGCCTGCATTAAACATCTTTATGAGA